AAAAAAAAAATTCAGGTTAACTCGTTAAACCAGATTAACACGTCAAACCTGAGATCCATGTCATTAAAGTATGATAACTAAATAATTTTTTTTTCACATTAACAAACTAAATTAAACAAAAAAAATTCATTAAAAGAAATAGAAAAAAAAGTGAACATTAACAACCTAAACTAAACAAAAAAAATTAATTAAAAAAACAAACAAACAAAAGACATAAGCATATTACCAATGAGAAAAAAGAAAAAAAATCTAAATCAACGGAGTTAACCCGTCAAATCAGGTTCACCTGTCAAACCTGAGATTCACATCATGAAAGTTTGCTAACTAAATAGAAAAAAAAAATCAATGGGTCAAACGAAAAAAATTGATTAAAAAAGGAAAAAAAAACTTAGGTTAACTTGTCAAACCCGAGATCCCTATAATAAAAATATGATAGCTAAATAAAAAAATTTCACATTGACAAACTAAATTTAACAAAAAAAATTCATTAAAAGAAAAAAAAACACAGAAAAAAGCAAAAAAAAAATCCATATGCAAAACAAAAAAAATTAAAAAAAAAAAGAGAAAAAGTCAAGTGTTTTACTGTGCACTGTGTGCACGGTAATACATTATATATAAAAAACAGAAGAAACAAAAGCGGGAAAAAAAAACTACTGCTACAGTGAAAAACCCATGCGTTTTAAAGTTAATTAAAAAAAAACAAAAACAAACAAAAGACATAAGCATATTACCAACAAGAAAAAAGAAAAAAAATCTGAATTAACTAAGTTAACTCGTCAAATTAGGTTCACCTGTCAAACCTAAGATTCACGTTATGAAAATTTATTAACTAAATAGAAAAAAAAAATTAATGGGTCAAGCAAAAAAATTGATTAAAAAGAAAAAAAAAATCAAATTAACTCGTCAAACCTGAGATTCGTGTAATAAAAATATGATAATTAAATAAAAAAATTTCATATTAACAAAAAAATTCATAAAAAAAAATCGTAAAAAAAAAAACTCATAGGTAAAACAAAAAAAAAATAAAAACGAAAACAAAAAAAAAGTTGTGAAACACTATATCTAAAAAACAGAAAAAACAAAAAAAATAAAATAAAATTACTGCTACAGTGAAAAACTCACACATTTTAAAGTATTCTATAATCATGAATGCTATTAGCATAATGCTACCATTATAACCACCTCTACCATCTCCACTAGCCCTTCTAGAAACATTTTAACTTCTTTATCTCATTATCTCATTGTTATTATTTAAAAACCATCAAATGAAAAATAATTTATTTGATAAAAAAATATTATTTAAATAATAAATAATAAATTATTTTTTAATATTTTTTTCATAGAAAAGTATTTCCCCGGTGTGTGTGTGTATTAAAAATGGACCTTCTATGTGTAAAATTTATATGACAGTGGAGATTTATGTTCCTTCATCAAAACTTTAAGTTTTACACCTTAATCCATTTGTATCGAAGGTAATTTTGAATCTTCTATACTTGTCTTCACTGAAGACAGCAAAGATCCACGTGATTTTGTTTCACGAACAATTAGTTAAGTATTTTACATACAGCAAGCAAAGTTAATTAAGTAAATACTGAAATGAAAATCCATTTAGATACATATTAAAAAAATTATATATATATGTGTGTGTGTGTGTGTGTGTTTAGGCCTTCGATTAAAGATTACCCCATCCATCTTTGTACCTAAATAAATCAATATCCATTTCACCGTCACTTCTATATAAACACAGTTATTTTCATATTCATCTCTATTTAAAGTATATTTGTTATTGTGATGTATTTTTAAAATGTTTTATTATATATTAGTAGATTAGAATCATTAGAAAAAAATAATTTTATATATCTTTTAATTTTTTTAAAAAAACAAAACTAAGATGTGGCTCAACTATTTAAGTTTTAAATTTATTCTTTATATATTACCAGTTTTAGTTTTATAAACTCTAAAAAATTATATAAATATTAACTTTTAAATTTTAAATATAATAAAAATACATGCAAAATAACTCAAACAACCAAAACTAAATCAAGGTATTTATAATTACCCTTGAAAATTGATCCAAGCCACTGTACAAGTCCATAATCTAGTTACATTTACTAAAGTAAAAGTGTAAAAGTTGGAGCAATAATTTCATAAAAACAATTTGTTTAAGAAGCACTCAGATCTTAATCAAAGAAGGGAGAAAATGGTTAAAATCTTAATCTTGAACACCTGCTTTAAAACGCTACAAGACAAAAAGCACCTCCTTTAACATGTGTTGCATCTCCTTGACATATTTGATTTGGAACCCAATTTACGGATAACGAAAATGACTCACAATCCACACCTTTATTTACACGAACCCCTTTCTTGGCCCCCCCCACCATATCCCGACAACGGGTTCCACCCCCATTACCTAATACTATTAATTAATTAAATTAAAAACCCCTCCATAAACAATCATTAATTGCACAAAAGCCGCGATTTCACAATTGTTTTTTAGCCATCATTGAAAAGCAAAGCTAAAAACTAAAAAGTGCCCTTCCAGGGGAAAAGAAGAAATTGAAACCAGCCCTCCAATTATACATAATTTCAGTTATATTTTTAAAGTCCGGAATTACACAATATCACCTCTAAAGAATGATATTTTGATCAATTTTACCCTCCATCAGACTCTTAGCGTTACTTTCTAGCATTAAAACCCTATCCTATCACCATTACACACACACACACACACAAGAAAACTCAAAGAACTTTCTAAATCTGGAAGAAGAAGAAACTCTCAATATATATTGAGAGTTTCTTCTTCTTCCAGATTTAGAAAGTTCTTTGAGTTTTCTTGAACTACACTACATGTTGATCGCAAGCATTTAATTCTGAGAGAAATTAGCTGCGAGGTCCATACAACCCTGCAAAGTTTATTTTGAAAAACTTATATCGTGGGAATTATTTTATTAAAATATACAATTAAGCATAAACATATCAGTAAAACCATATTTCATTCCTTAAATTTTATAAATGTATCTTTTTAATAAAATATTTTCTTAAATTTTTCAAGTGTGGATCCTTAAAAAAAACTAATTACAGGTGTGTAATCTGATAACAACATCAAATAATAATGATTACTATTAGTAATATTAACATGATAGTAACTGAATAATGAAAGCCATGCATAGATCGCTGATTAAATAAATAATAATTACTATTTGGAGAGGTAGTCATGAATTTAATTCTAAAAAATAAAAATAAAAATAAAAAAATGATAAATATCACAGAGAAAAAGAAAGAAACATAATAATGTTATCACGTATTAAACATTGCTTTACAGAGAAAAAAAAAGGCCCTTGGATCAGTAGAAATTACCTAAATCTTCATATACAATTGAATGTCCTGTAAATTTATTTATTTATTTTCTTATTAGATAAAATGGTTTTGAACTTTCAAAAACTAAAAATTAAAAGTGACTCACACGCTATCCAGATAAAAGGATAAATGACGTTTCATACTTAGATTTATCATAGATATAAACTTTAATTTTTTATACTTCAGGTACTAAGAAATTTTTTACTTTTAGATTAGGAAACCTTTTCTTAAATGTTTTTTTTTTCACTCGTCTATAGAGACGCTAAACAACTTTTAGAGATTATTTTTTTTATTGCGTTTTAAAACTATTTTTTTGATATTTTTTATTTTAAATTAATTTTTTAATATTTTTAAATTATTTTGATGTGTTAATATAAAAAATAAATAAAAATATTATTTTAATATATTTTTAAATAAAAAATATTTTAAAAAATAACCGTAACCTGAATAAATCGATTAGGAGTAAACAAACCTTTTTTGAGTATGTTTGGTACTGTGGTTGTTTTTATGGTTGTGGTTTAAAAAAAGTTATTTTATAAAAAATAGTTTTAATTGAGGTTTGTTTGGTATTTATATATGTTTGGTTAAAATTATGATTGAAATTAAGGTTGAACAAAAAATAGTTTAATATATTTAGTTAAAATAATATTTTTCAAATTAAGTTTATATATATATTGATGATTTTTAATTTAAATATACTACTATTATTACATTATAAAATAAATAATACTCATATAAAATATGTTTTATTATTCTATTAAACTATCTACAATTCTATCACGTATGAAATCCATTTGACAATAACTATAATTTCCTTTATTTCTTTAAGCAAGTAATAACATCAGGTAAAATATCATCGGGAATAAAATTAAAATTACAATTAAATTCTATAAATGTTACGTCATCAAATGATCTCCTTTTATTTTTTTAAAATAAAACATAATAAAAATAAAAATAAAAATTAAATTTTTTTTAACGGGATTGAATTTGATTCAATGCATTTAATTTTGGATCGGACCGATCCGGCTGGAATCATGGATACTACAATTTTATTAGTTTCTTTAAACATGTAATAATAATAGATAAAATATTATTAGAAATAAAATTATGAGTATAATCAAATTTTACCAACACTATATCATTAAATAATTTTCTTCTAATTTTTCAAATAAAATAAACTAAAAATAAAAATTAATTTTTTAACCACATCAAACTCAATTTAATACATTTCACTTCAAATTAGACGGATGCTATCATACCAATGAAGAGCATTTCCACTATTCAGATGGACGATAAAATTACTCTCCACTGCACGTCCGCAGGATACAAGGAAAGGAAGGGAAAGCAGCTGAGCTGTTTTCTTTAAACTACAGGTTAAAACACAATTTATATGGTCCCACACTAACAGAAAAGTAAATTTTTATCCTGAGTGGGGGTGATATTGATTGATGTTAAAGTTCAGTGAGCAGATTCACATATTTATATATATGGGTGACTGATTTGAACTCTTAAAAAAATTCTGATAGAGAGAGGAATAGAGGGAGAGAGAAAATGAATATGTCCTCTTCTCAGTTTCGCCTATAAATAACCCACAAGCCGCGTTTAGCTGGAAACAAAAACACAAACCTCCTCTCTAGTCACTTAGCCCTCTCCCCTTCTCCCTTCCTTTCAGCTCACTGTCAACACAGCTTACTACAATCCTTCAACAATCCACCTGAACAGATATTTTTTAGAGAGAGAAAGTAATGGAAGCGTACTCGCTGCATCTAGCGATGGCGGCTTTAGTAGGAGCATCATTTGTGGCAGTATCCGCTTATTATATGCACCGCAAAACCCTAACTCAACTCCTCGAGTTCGCGAAGACGGTAGAGAGAGAACGAGAAAGAGACGACAACTCCGACGGTGGCGGCGGAGGATCGTCGCCGCAGCATTTGAAGAAGCGCCGGAGTCATGGACGGAGGAAGGGAAGCAGCGGTTACTATAATAAGCGTGGCTCGGCTTCGTTACCGGACGTGACGGCGATTTACGGTGGTGGAATTGATGGAGAGGAGAAACGTAATAGTCAGGTGGTTTATGTCGACGGGATTCCGGCTGGATTGCCGAGGCTTCATACTTTGCCTGAAGGTATGAACTTCTCGGACTTCTCGCCGGAGTGAATATTTAAAGCTCGGCTTGAACTTGACTGCTCTGATAGTTTTACTTATGATAATTTTCAACAGTGCAGTCATGATTTTTGAGGACTATTTTAATTTAATTTAATAGCTCTGTTATGTGTATAATATAATCAATATAATATAATTATTTAAATGCTTGTATTCTGTTTTGTATTTAATATGATTGTTGCTTGCGGAGATCATTTGTATTTGTTCAAATTGCAATTTTTTTATATTTCTCTGTTTGAAGAGGGAAGGAATGATGTTAAAAGAGGGATAAAAAAATATATTATATGCGGATTTTAAACCAACCACACGAAAATGATATTTATTAATATATATTTTGAATAAGAAGTGAAGTGCAAGAAATTTTTTGTCTGTTATGTAGTAAAAGGGTTGAAAGCTTATCCTCGGTAAGACATTTATATGCGTTGAAGATGAATAAGGAAACTTAACCTGGGATTAAAGTGGTTCGTCTTGGTGAACAAATTGGAAATGGTTCAGAGTCGTTAATGGCTTAATTATCTAGCTAATTACTGGTGTCCTCTTAACAGTTTGCTTGGGCTGCTCTTCCTTGCGCCTTACAATAAAATCTTACTCCCACATCTACCTCTTGTGTAGAGAAGGCCACCAGCTGTGGATTCAAATAGTGCCAACTTGGAATGACTTGGAATTCAATTGAAATTTTATTTACTAAATAGTGCCAACTTGGAATGACTTGGAATGAAATTTTATTTACCCCATTCTTTTTTGTTTTTTCACCTCTTTATTTGAGGTGGGGAGCTGTTATCCTGTTTGCTGAAAATATCCAGTATTGTGCTGTTCCAGGGAAATCTTCTGGGCATATCAAGAGGCCTGGAAGTTTTATCAGACCAACTTCTCCAAAGTCTCCTGGTGCTAGTGCCAGTGCCTTTGACAGCGTGGAAGGATCAGATGATGAAGATAACATGACTGACAATTCTAAAGTAGACACTAAATATCTGCATGTTAATGGAAATGCTGTGAGTTTGTGATCTTGGAAATGCACATTTCTTATTTTGTTTAGCAGCATCAGTCTTTTCATTTACATACCCACATGCACACACATTCTTCATTTTGACAGGATTTCCTTCTATTCTTAATTTTGTGGCTTGCAATTTTAGGATATAAAGGATGTTTTACCACAACACATTAACGCAAATGGAGACCCTATACCTGCTTCAAGCATGATTCGATCTCATAGTGTGTCTGGTGACTTGCATGGTGTTCAGCCTGATCCTATTGCTGCTGATATTCTAAGGAAAGAACCAGAACAAGAAACTTTTGCACGACTTAAAATTTCTCCTATGGGTATTGACTGCTTCTCATCCATACTTCTGTTAATTATCCTTGCTTTGGCTTGCGAAATTGGTAAAATATTTAAAGGGTTTCTCTTATCCTACTTCATGAATTTTTAATATCACTAATCTGATCTTTTGCTGCTATTCTCTGTAAAAGTGCAAGATGAATGGGCACAAAATGCAAGCAGTTGCTTATGTTTTATCATGAAATATGCATATATTTAAATTTTTTAGAGGGAATGATGCAGAATAGATGTGCTTTCTTTAATGGATACATGTTTAAATTTTTTCCGTTTGTGTCTACACTCTTAAAGTTGTTGTCTGTGTTTTTGCTTGGTTAATTTGAATGCTAGTGCACCTATTTGAATTATTCACTGCTTTTAAGATTGCAAGCATGTAAGTTTCTGTTAGGACTCCGATGCTCCATTTTAAAATGACTTTGTTTTAACAAATTTATTTTGCGTCAGCAGAGGTGCCATCACCAGATGAAGTGGATTCCTATATAGTTCTTCAAGAATGTCTTGAAATGCGAAAAAGATATGTATTCAAGGAAGCAATCGCACCATGGGAGAAAGAAATTATTTCTGACCCCAGTACACCAAAGCCTAATCCTGACCCTTTCTCCTTTACACCAGAGGGAAAATCTGACGTGGGTATATTCATTTAGGCATTTTGTGAAACACCTAGTCAGGATTATGCTTTTCTTTTTTTGATCAAATATGCCTTCCATTCTTTGTTTTTTTGCACAGCATTATTTTAAGATGCAAGATGGGGTCATCCATGTCTATCCAAATAAAGACTGTAAGCTTTGAGCTTCAGTTTCTTGCTTGTTATGTTTCAATCCTTTATTTCATTATTGGGATGTTAATTTATGCTTTGTTTTTCCTCTTTTCTTAGCTAAGGAAGAACTTTTTCCTGTTGCTGATGCGCCAATGTTTTTCACTGATTTGCATCACATACTTCGAGTTATTGCAATTGGAAATATCAGAACTCTATGTCATCATCGGCTGAATCTCCTAGAACAAGTAAATACATCTTTCATTGACCATCTCAATTTATTAAGAAGCTAGTTTTCTTGATAATAATTAGTCTTCTGGATTTATGCTTATCCCAATGTCTCAGAAATTCAACCTTCATTTGATGCTTAATGCGGATAGAGAGTTTCTGGCTCAGAAAAGTGCTCCACACCGTGACTTTTATAATGTCAGGAAAGTTGATACGCATGTTCATCATTCTGCATGCATGAACCAGAAACATCTTTTAAGGTTTATAAAGTCAAAACTGAGGAAAGAGCCTGATGAGGTAAAGATTTGGATTCCCTGCCTTTTTTTTTTTTTTTTTGCAGAAATCAAACAGTATACACCTTTCTCTTCTTTCCTTTCTGCATTGGAATGGGCCATTAATCATTCCATAATCTTGTGCAGTTAACCAGAACTTTAATATTATGTCCACACAAACAATATGATACAATCTGATTATTTGGTGTGGTGGATATTTAATACATATTTGTTGTTGTCTTGAACTTTTTTTCTTTCTGTTATTCAGGTTGTAATTTTTCGAGATGGAACATACTTGACATTGAAAGAAGTGTTTGAGAGTTTGGATTTGACTGGGTAAAGAACTTTTGTTGTTGTTATCATTTTCATATTGTTATATAGAAGGTTGTGATCATATCGATATCTGTGAGAACAGGTATGATCTCAATGTTGACCTTTTAGATGTTCATGCGGACAAGAGCACATTTCATCGCTTTGATAAGTTCAACCTGAAGTACAATCCTTGTGGTCAGAGTAGACTTAGGGAGATTTTCCTTAAACAAGACAATCTTATCCAAGGTACATCTTAATTTAATCTTATCCAATGTACATCTTGATTTTTTCTTGAGAGAAAAAAATCTTTTTTCTTCTGTATTTTTACTTCTTCTGGGTGGGTGGATAGAAGGTTCATCCTTCATCCTCTTAAAGCAAACTTATGAAAAAAGAACAGGGGCAATGAGAAAAATGACATTCTTAGTGTATAGGAAACTGTCTTCCAGTTGATCCCCAAGGGAACAACATAGTGGTTGAAAACTTGGAACTTCTAGCTTAAAGGGCTCAAGTTGCCAATTGTGTGACGAGTAAGTGACATTGTGTTGAAACGGGAGGATTACTCATTTTGCGTGTTGCTGAAGGCTAGCAGGCCTCACAATGAACTGCAAAGGAAACCTTAAAACTTTGTACTAGAATGTCACACATTTTAAGACTCAAGTTTCATCTTACATGCTTGCATCTCATAGTGGTTGCATGGTTATCGTGTTGTGATGTTTTTTTTTTCCCTATTAATTTGTAAGCTGCTTTTCTTCCCTGCTAGTTATATGTTCTGCTTTGCCTTATCCATGCTTGTTGCTGTGTGTTGATGAGCAGGCCGTTTCCTTGGTGAACTGACAAAACAAGTTTTTTCTGATCTTTCTGCAAGTAAATATCAGGTAAACCTTTGTCCTACTTGTAGTTGATTTTTATGCATAGATATAGATTCCGGTTTCCTTTATCTGTTTCACATTTTCCAATGATAATTAAATTTTTAGTACTGGTCATTCTTTGTTAAATATTTAAAATCTGTGCATTAGTGAGAATTTGGTAAAATTGTCTATATTTCACGCCTACAACAATTAAGAAATGCCAAAGACACCACATTCATGATTCATGACCGTATTTCGTTGTGTTTCTTCTTTTGTTGATCCCGCTCTCATTCTCTAGACCTGATTAGATCAGTAAGTTATGGGTAGAAGCTGTATTTTAGTATTTTTGTTATGAAATTCTTGAATCTTATAGTCATGATTTTAGAGTGAGCCCATCCTAGGATTTGAGGTGTAGGAAAATTTTGAAGCTTTTCTGATTATTGGATCTTGATATTTTGCTTTACTAATTCCTATCCTGCTTGAGGCTCATGTGCTGACATTAGATGATGGAAAAAACTCTTGACATACAGTATGCTTCACTTTTGCTTATGCTTGTTTTCCCCTATTTCTATGATCTTGTTATTGCAGATGGCTGAATACAGAATATCAATATACGGTAGAAAACAGAGTGAATGGGACCAATTGGCTAGCTGGATAGTGAATAATGAATTGTACAGTGAATATGTTGTTTGGTTAATCCAGGTACTGGCAGTATCTAAATCCCTCTTTACTGAAGTTCATTTTTTTTTTTTTGGTTTCTTGAAGGAAAAGTTGGTTATCTTATCTGAGAGTGATGGTGGGTTTGATTGCTGCTGAACATTCTGTTTACAATGAGATGCCCATATCAATTGAAAAACTCTGAGTCATTATTTAATTTCATGTTTTGTAATATGTTGTGTATTTTCAGCTTCCTCGACTGTACAATATCTACAAGGAAATGGGGATTGTTACATCATTTCAGAATATTCTTGATAATATCTTCATTCCGCTTTTCGAGGTCACAATTGATCCAGATTCGCATCCTCAGTTGCATGTTTTCTTGAAACAGGTTTGCCATTTTCTAAATAGATTGTTATTTTGCAGATAGCATCACAGTGTATAAAAGGTTTCATTTTTTCTTAATTGAAAGTAGATATGTGGTGCTTACCACCCTATTTTATCACCAAACCAGCTTTCCAAGGAACTTTTGTTGAGATGTTTGGAGGATCTAGTGGTTACGCATTAAAACAATTAAATTCATCAACTGACATGAGTATGATTTAAGTTTTTGTTGGCAGATTTAGTCAGCTTGGTTAGTTGTTGGCTGTTTTGTTTCCAGATTACACTGGTGTTTTGATTTGTGTCTTTTTTTTTTTTCCCGTTTATGTGCCCATTGTTTGAGCTTCCCATTACTACATCACTAAAAGAAAGGGGGGAAACTACAATGGTCCATGCTTCAATGTGTTATTTTCTCATTTAGGTGTTATATTTTGGAAGACTGTTGAATGGGAGATCAAAAGAGATCCCAGCCAGAAATTTTTACCAATAGGTATAACTGGCAAAATCTGATAGCGTCTATGAAACATGTGACTTAGGACTTGATGGTGGATCAGGTACAAGAAGCAAGTAATACATTTACCTAGGGTGGTTGTGGGATATTAAAATTTCATCTTCTGTTTCCTCCTCTGAAATCATAACCTGACCCTCCTATTCTCACAGAGATTATTGTGAGGCTTTAAGGGTGCTCGACGTCCAACTTTATTCCCCCCCTCTTATTGAATAATATACAACTTGCCATTTGTTTTATATTTCAGGTTGTTGGGCTGGACCTGGTTGATGATGAAAGCAAACCTGAAAGACGACCGACAAAGCACATGCCTACACCAGCTCAATGGACCAATGTGTTCAATCCTGCATTTTCATATTATGTTTATTACTGTTATGCCAACCTCCACACATTAAACAAGGTCTGTGTTACACTTCAGAAGCAATATTTTACTTAATAACGTGTTACGTGAAGATGTTTATTATCTTCTTTCTTTTGGAATATTTTTCTTGCATAGGTGTCTTGCATGTTTTGATGATCATTTTGATTCTTGTCATGATATCATTAGTGACAAGAAAAATATTTCCAGGTTTTTTCATTCAAATGTCATGATCTACATGGAACTTCTGCCACAAAATAAAAAAATGTAACCATCAAATGATTTAATGTTTATTGACATAGCTTGATAGCTTTTCTCCCAGCTCGATCTGGCAGTCCGCCCCAATGTTTTACTTAGTGGCTGTTTTCTTCCTCAATTAATCTATTTCCACATTGTTTTTCAGCTTCGTGAGTCAAAGGGCATGACAACTATCAAATTCCGTCCCCATTCTGGAGAGGTATTCCTTCCAGCTTTTCCTTCTACTTTGCACAAATGTTCAGATCTTCTGCCAGCTCATATGACATGTCATTTTCAGGCTGGCGACACTGACCATCTTGCTGCAACATTTCTTACGTCTCATAATATTGCCCATGGGATCAATTTGAGGAAATCTCCAGTACTTCAATATTTGTATTATCTAGCACAAGTATGGAAGATATATTCTTTTTGGTATCATTACTGTTATTTTAAATGGATGTCATGTACTTCTATTTTTTGTGACATTAATAAGAAATGGTGGCATTTTTGCTATACAGATTGGCTTAGCTATGTCTCCTCTGAGCAACAATTCCTTATTTTTAGACTACCATAGGAATCCTTTTCCTATGTTTTTCCAAAGGGGTCTCAATGTTTCCCTTTCTACCGATGATCCGCTCCAAATTCACTTAACAAAAGAGCCCTTGGTGGAAGAATACAGCATAGCTGCTTCTGTAAGTGCTCCTTTTCTTACCTGTAGTGATTTTTTTTTTCTTGAGGTGAAATTTATTATTGCATGCTTTCCTGACAGGTGTGGAAGTTGAGTTCATGTGATCTGTGTGAGATTGCTCGAAATTCGGTCTACCAATCAGGTTTCTCACATGCTTTAAAGGTACATTCGTTTCTATTAGCTTGGATTTAAGATTCTGAAATTTATAAAAGAAAGGATCTGGTGCAACAAGTTTAGTTAAGAACATAAAATAAAAACTAAAAAATAAAATAAAATCAAGACAACATGTTCTTGAGACAGAGAAATGGGATTGTTAAAATCTTTGATTTTTTCTATATATCACTAATTTCCTTTGCTTCTCTCATTGTAATCACTGATTAGCTTGACAGAGAAATGGGATTGTTAAAATCTTTCATTTTTTCTATATATATATAGTCACTAATTTCCTTTGCTTCCCTCATCATAATCACTGATTAGCTTGATTGGTTACTCCTTTTTATTTCATCGGCTGACTTTGTACCACGAGTATTTGTTTCTCTTCATTCTTAATCTTAACAAGTTAAAGAAAACTGAAGATGGGGGATAGAATATTCGAACTGGTCATGAAAGGATCATCATTCCTTTCAGGTGTTGCTTTTGAGATATCATTGGTTGCCTGTGCCTATGAAGAACAATGTAGATGTGTTTGCCATGTTGTGCGTTGTCTAATAAATATCTTTCCATGGGGAACCTAGTCTGACTCGGGTTGTTTGCATGGCATTGTGACAACCATCACAAATGGACTGAATGTATTGAAATGGGTATACATCTTACGACCAGTATGTTTTATTATACTCCCTAATACGATGGGCATTAGGAGTCTAAAATGGCCAGCGTGGAAGATTGTTTTTGCCCAACTCTTTGAATTATATGCTATTCTATGTGCTTTTTGGCTTTCTTTTTGTTGGAGAATTGTGCATTTCGCTTTTCTGATCAAACTATTGTGTTTCTTCTTAACTGTTGTATGGCTTCTATTAAGATTTTATTGATTCAGTGGGCAACCTCTTTATTGTTGTTGTTGTTCTTGATTTTGAATTAATCTAAGTACCAGATAATTGGCATGGAATTAACATATCCCAACTTTACTCTGCTGTGCTCCTTTCGATTCTATTGAAGAAATATTTGAGTGTTTATATAAATGCTTTTAAATCTAATTTCTGGACATTTACCCTTGAAACTCCAGTCGCACTGGATTGGTAAAGAGTACTACAAGAGAGGACCAGACGGAAACGATATTCACAGGACAAATGTGCCTCATATCCGGGTGGAATTTCGAGATGCGGTATGGACCTGATTCAGAACTTTTTAATACTGACTTATTCAAACAAGAAGCCTCGACCTCTTTTTAATTGTTCAAAGTTTTTCTTTTTCGCTGCAAGTAATGAGGATGAATACCCTTTTGGAGCACAAGGGTCTTAAATAAGTAGTTCGTAGTAGCCCCTTATTCCTCCAACCCCTCCGCTTCCCATAACTAATCCCCCCTCTCATTCTTTGTGCCATTCTTTTGGCTTCAATTAATATTGATCTGAATGAGAGCCAAATAGTTAAATGGACAGTAGAGCATTGTGTAATCAGGGTGACACATGCAGAAGGTCCCGTAGCAAGTAGCATTTATATTCAGACAACGCTAACTCCTGATTTTTATTTTGGCTGGATTAGTCAGATTTAATCCATGTGGTAATTTTCTTGCAGATATGGAGAGATGAGATGCAACAAGTTTATCTTGGCAAGGCCGTTATCCCTAAAGAAGTGGACAAGTAAATAGCGGGAGTTTCCATAGCCAGCCCATCCTCATGCGTTTACTTAAATTATAAAGGTGCTATCAGATCCCATACCTTTATACATTACTATCTTTTTCGGTTGAACCTAGTTTTGATAAACCTGGCTCCAATTGTTGTCACGGTAGGTCAACAGAATTCAACTTTCTCATCAAACATTAGATGGCTGTACACTTCTGATCATGCACCTGATAATGGCAAGAAAAAATAAAAATGGGGGAATGGCTTCATGCATAGCAACAGCAAAGCTGATAGAAGCTTATGAGTTTTGAGAACGAAGGCCATGCATAAGACGCAATTGTTGACACGGTGATCTGCAGTGTCTTGGAAAAAAAGAAAAAGGAAAAAGAAAAAAAAAATGCCGATCTCGCGACAGAACAAATAACTAGGATTAGGTATATTCGGTCAATATTAAGAGTAGCATTACGGGGTATAGTATGAGTTATGCGTGGTTCACTCATTGCAATGTCAGATGTTAGTGTGACCAATAATAGCAAGGATAGGACAGGACAATCTCGTACTTTAATTTTGTTTCCAGATGAATATGCCTCATCAAATTTTGGTTCGGTTTTATACTATGAAGATGCATGTAACCAAAACATTTCCCTGGAGTAAATTCCTCTGTTGCTCCCGGTTGATTTTTTTCTCTAATTTCTCGTGTTTGGCTGAGAGAGCTCACTCACAACTCCGAGTAACTAACCAGTCTTGTGCTACTAGTGTGCGTGGGTTTGAACTTTGAACATGTTAGACTCGTATATGGCTTGGCCCGTCGGAAGTTGTTGGCAAGGAATCGGCTTAAATTTATGATTCCTAAAGAAAGGAATTCAAGCCATCCTGCTCGAATTCTGAATGCCCGGTCCTGTCTAAAATGATGAAGTTTCTTTCAATCGGCTGCTCTATACTTCCAACGTCAATTCTTATTTTCGTTGCGTGGACTTGTAATTAAATTAAGAAGAAGAAATACCTCCACTTCCAAGATCACCTTCATAGACGTTCCCATGCATGCAGATCTGAAACAACATGGCTTCCTCTCCTTTACTTCTAGTTCAGAGACTGAACTGAAAAAACAAAAGGTAAAAGGAGTTGCAAAAACCGACAAGTTGCATGCTGATGAGATGGGTTAGATTAGGTCTCATCTCTCTACTGCTGTTACAACACCTTGCACACTGAACTCTCTTAATTACGTAGTGGAACTATATTGTTTTATCCATTGTTTTAAAACCCGGTTTGGTGGATGCCGGTTGAAGACTTGGATTTTAGGTTTTAATTGGGTTCCTAGATCGATCAGATTAAATTTTATTTTTTTTAAAAAAAAATTAAAACAATATTATTTTAACAAAAAAACAAAAACAAAATAAAAGTCAACGAGTTTGCAATCAGGTTTTGCTGGATTAACCAGGTCAACTCTCTGAATCATCCGGTCACACCGCTTCTCTCTTCCTCTATTTTTTTTTCAATCTAGCTTAGTTCTAGTCCTAAGCAACTCGCTAGGCAGCACCGAATTTTAAAATCATGCTTTATCACCTTTATTTATTAGGAACCTAATATGTCCACAAATAGATTATTTAGTTGTCATGATTAACTATTTCAAACACAAGTTAAAAAATATTTAAAAGATAGTATATTTTTAATTAAAAGATAATTTTTAATTTTTAGTCCTACCATTTGAAAACATGATTTTTAGCCTATTATTAATTATTTTTTGAAATATATTTTTTGTTTGAAAACATATTAAAATAATATTTTTTTATATAATTTAAAGATCTCTAATTTCTTGTCTATGATACTGGCTTTGACCGGGTTACTCTTCTAATCACTTACCTCTCATAGAGGTTGGATGCAATCACTGCTAGTTAGAATCCTTAATTTAGCTGAAATTGTACAGGTGCAAGGGACTTTTTATCCAGTTTGACTGTCCAAGGCTGCCCTCCGTTTTGTCATTTAATCTTAATTTTACAGTCTTTAACAACTCCATTTGGAATTCTAAGTGTCAATAGATTTTAAAGTATTTGGGAGCCCGGTCTTTTAATTTTTAAAAAAATTAAAACAATATTATTTTAACAAAAAAACAAAAACAAAATAAAAGTCAACGAGTTTGCAATCAGGTTTTGCTGGATTAACCAGGTCAACTCTCTGAATCATCCGGTCACACCGCTTCTCTCTTCCTCTATTTTTTTTTCAATCTAGCTTAGTTCTAGTCCTAAGCAACTCGCTAGGCAGCACCGAATTTTAAAATCATGCTTTATCACCTTTATTTATTAGGAACCTAATATGTCCACAGATAGATTATTCAGCTTTCATGATTAACTATTTCAAACACAAGTTCAAAAATATTTAAAAGATAATTTTTAATTAAAAGATAATTTTTAATTTTTAGTCCTACCATTTGAAAACATGATTTTTAGCCTATTATTAATTATTTTTTGAAATATATTTTTTGTTTGAAAACATATTAAAATAATATTTTTTTATATAATTTAAAGATCTCTAATTTCTTGTCTATGATACTGGCTTTGACCGGGTTACTCTTCTAATCACTTACCTCTCATAGAGGTTGGATGCAATAACTGCTAGTTAGAATCCTTAATTTAGCTGAAATTGTACAGGTGCAAGGGACTTTTTATCCAGTTTGACTGTCCAAGGCTGCCCTCCGTTTTGTCATTTAATTTCTTAATTTTACAGTCTTTAACAACTCCATTTGGAATTCTAAGTGTCAATAGATTTTAAAGTATTTGGGAGCCCGGTCTTTTAATTTTTTTTTTTATTTCAAATTATTTTGTTATGATGTTTTTATATCATTTTAAATTTGGGAGCCCGGTCTTTAAAAAAACTTTATTTTTTTATTTCAAATTATTTTGTTATGATGTTTTTATATCATTTTAAATTTGGGAGCCCGGTCTTTAAAAAAATTATTTATTAGGAACCTAATATGTCCACAAATAGATTATTTAGTTGTCATGATTAACTATTTCAAACACAAGTTAAAAAATATTTAAAAGATAGTATAAATATTTTAAAAAATAACATTTACCACACCTAAATAAAAATGTTGTGCTAATGGAGACCCGTAAACAGATATCAGCAGCACATCAAAATCTTGGATTGACATTGTCATGCAGGTTGCTGCCAAGATGACCATGAGCAGGGAAAGCCATGAAATAAGGGTAAAATAAACAAGCCAGACCATAACCAAGTTGCAAGTGAATTGCAAACCGAGCAGAACCCAATAGGCACCATAAAACTCCAAAACAAAAGCTAATTTATCTGAATAACAGGACATATTTATGGTATTTCTTTGGTTGCTTCTTGATTAATTTCCTTCTTTTCCATCTTCTGTCCATTTTTCAACAGTGTCAATTCCTTCTTCCAGCTGTTCTTTCTTTTTTTTTAAAAAAAAAAGCACAAGAGCCACGCCAACAATTTTACCCACCAAAACAAAGTAGGTGTTACTGTAAGGTTGAGAATCGCAAATAAAAACATATAAACTCCAACAGCAGCTGCAAATACCAACGCAACAATCAAGTAAAAACATATTTGTACATGTCCCAACTCCCAATTCCACGCAGTCTCCCTGTGTGTGTGGTGTGTGAGAGTTTCCAAGACGACAAAACCAATTACATGAAACCATTTCCCTCTTTGTTTATGACTTGAATAATGAAAGCTAAGAAGTTGCATGCCTAAGATTTCAGCAAGATAACAAACATACAACAAAACTCCACATCTTGGTATTCTAATATTATTATTCTGTGTTACTACATCCCCATAAAAGAGTGGTTTCAATAATCTATTTTTTGAAGTGACCAGCGAGCTCACCTTTCTCGTGCATGGATGTCAAGATATCACACCCTCCTACCAGCTCCCCATTCATGAATATTTGTGGGAATGTGGGCCAATTACTATACTTCTTCAGTGTTTCCCTCAATCCGTAATTGTATTCTTCATCAAGCACATCAACACTCTCATAATCCACGCCTTCAGATTCAAGAATGCCAACTACTCTCTGAGAGAATCCACACATTGGAGCACTTCGAGATCCCTTGATGAAAGCCACCACTTTGTTCTCCTTAACCAACCGGTCAATGAGTTCTTCTAGTGGAACTGTTAGCTGGACATGACGACCAGGTGTAAGCCGGAGATCAGCCTTCTTCTTTGGTGATTGTCGAATCCAAGTAGCATTCCCCGTTTCATTGCCTGGTGGAACCTTTCCTGTGCTTTTTATATATTCTTCCATCCAGGATTTCCAAGCTTCGGTCAGAGACGCTTTATCAGGCTCAACTACCACTCCAACCTACATAACAGTTTTCATGGCAAAGTCAGTGGTCTGCATAAAAACAGTTATCACACTGATTTAATTGAAAAGAATTTAGAAGATGTAGATAAGCCAATTGTGCACCTTCAATCTGTTTTCAACAATTAAATTTCCCAACATAAGATCACACAGCAAGCTGCCATATTGCTTATCAACTGATAGCATTTCTTATCGTATTTATAGTGAAATCTAACATACGCCCATGATGTCAGTTTCTCTCGAGGCATTGTTACTTCCTTCTTCTTTTTTTTGAGGAAACGAAAATTATCCCTTAAACACTGTTTTGAAAGATAATGACTTCCAAAGATTCTAGCATTTGTTCCACCCGCAACACTAAATAATAGCGAAATTGCAAAATTCAAAAACAACTTGTTTCTTTCTTTCTCCCAAAAATTGTTGAAATTAGATCCTCCAACATGTTAAGACAGACCCCAACTTCACCATTAATAATAAAAATGGAAAAAAAAAACTTTATATCTCCCACCCCATGGGGCAACACATTTGCATAGCACATGACACACAGACAAAGCTTAGCAAGGTCTTCTAATTTTGAAGAAATCACTAATGCTATCCTCCTAAGCACCACTCTCGAACTAGATACCTTAATTTTGCAAGGCCGTGGTCTTCTAAACAAAGTGGTTGAGGGGAACAAAAACAACAACGATAAGGGGGAAGCCGACAGCAAGTCTTTTTTTCCAATGTGAGTGCAGTCGCGGTATCTTTCAATGTGAATGGTAAAAATCAAACAATGAAATACTGAAGCTAGATTTAGAAGACCAAATCCCAAGTTCAGATTTCCAATGGCTACTCAATCACACTAGCATCAATAACACATTTCCCAAGTTCTGATTCCCGTTGATAACTCAAGCTCCGCACTAAAAGTTCAACCAAATTCCATCTTTTTTAAACTGGTCCGTATAGGATTTCCGTTACAGACCATCAAATCTTTTCCTTTTCGGATTGCTCTTGAATTCAACATCCACTCATTAGAACTCTAAATTAATCAAGTGTCACAACATCTAGCCAACCAAGATTTTGACTTAAGAACAACTTTCAAGACATTATTTATATAATTTCTCAAGATGTAACTAAAATTCAAAAAATTATAAATTCAATAATCCGTTATATAATATAATAGTCGTTAAACATCCAAGATTAACAGAGTACCAATTATAATTATCACAAAAAGGTCAAGCAATTAAGGGTAAAAACAGAAGAAAGGAAAAGAAATTACCTTAACGGAGTGACATAGCTCTGGCACGGATTTCAGGTGAGAGAAAACGCTGGCCCCAATATTCCGAGTGACACCAATAAATTGAAGGTCATTAC